TCTTTTTCTGAATCGCTCATGGGATTTCAGATTCTAACCTAGAGGTAAACATTTTTTTGTGATATTTTGTTGGGTTTACAGTTCAATAAAATAATTAGGTTTTATCATCGAACCACCTATAGTTCCTTTTGGTACTGTTTCTGTATTTGTGTTAATTGGCTAGAGGGTTATGTTCTTCGAGTGAATATAAAGGACCGTTCAATTAAGTTTTCATGAGCTTGATTTGGGCTGTTGCCTGTTGGGTTATGATTCTTTTTGCTTTTTAAATTCCTAATTATGTGCTGTGTTTTTTGTTTTTATTGAATTTTTCAAGTGTATCCAAGGGTGAAAGTGAGAAAACAAGTGGAAGAAGATGATCAATATGCTTATGACTTATGAGAAAATTTCTTTGCAGTCCGTGAAGGCCTTTGAATGGCTTTCCTTGAATGATTTCTCTTCTTCAGGTACATATTTCTTCCCATCTCTCATGTATTTTTTATTTTATTTTCCTTTCCCTTCGAATATTCTTATTTATTTTGATTTACATAATGTTCTATTTGCAATTTTTTTTTCGGACGTGCAATTTTTCGATGCTTGGGTAAATTTGTAACCATACTTACCCGACCATGACAAGATTTGATTTTTTCTTTACTTCAATACTCTGATTAGTCTGATTAATTGTTGTTAATGAGTAGACATGTGGATAAACATCCTCCTCCCACGCACAGGACTTTTGTAGGAGGAAGAAATTGACAAATAAGGAAACTTTATTACAAGGAAACTTGCCATAACAGAAAATATTCTACTGAACTTCAAAGGAAATAAAATAAAATCATTGATGCCAATGGGGAAGGAAACATATCAAGGAGATTGATCTGAAATGGCGTGATTTGCTGGTGCCAGATCTGTCTAGATAGCCTTTTGATGTGTTTTCGGTTATTCAAAGGGCCTTTGTTAGGTTGCTTAAGCTTTAACTATCTCTAGATTGTTCTCGTCATTAAATTCTCCTTCAACTAATTATTTTCCAATCTGAGTGACATGAACATGATGTGCTTTACAATTTAGTCTTTGGATAATTCATAATTGTGCTTTTATTGCTTGTGAAGTAGACCTAATTTGGCGTTCTCTATTCCATTTAATTTCAACAGATTACATCTTTTTCATCAACTTATTGTTGCTTATTTTTCTTCTCGATTATAATTGGTACAAATGCCTAAAATGTGGCATCTATCTTTATCTTCTTTCTTCAGTACATACATGGACTCGCTGCTCGGGGAATTCATTATTTTCATAGGCCAGGACCGATACTTCAGGATGTTGGCTTCTTTCTTCTTCCGGTAAGAATTATATATTTCTGTATTTTCAACGGACATTACTACTAACGAGATGCATACTTGCTGTCTGAGGTCTTCACTCATTTCAAACTTCTGGAACTATTACAAGAACTTGGGCAAGACAGAGCTTACATCAGCGAAACTGTATTTAACTTTGTCTTTCTATCGTTTGTCTTGGTCAGTTTTCCCATTTACTGATTTTAAGATTTAGTTACTCTAATTTTCGTTCTTTCAAGTCTTCCTTCATATACTAATTATGGTTGATGCTCTGGTGCAGTGGACTTTCCATCCCTTCATCTTCAAGAGCAAAAAAATTTACACAGTCCTAATATGGTGCAGGGTCCTGGCTTGTTTAGTTGTAAGTGAAAATGTCTGTTGCCATTTTTTGGAAACTTTTCCATTAATCAATAATTAGTTGAGGAGTGAAACAATTGAAAATCATTTACCCTTACTTCCAAGATGAATGTTTTTGTGGATTCATCATAATTATTGATCACTCTTTTGTTGAAACTATGGAATGTTCTTCAATCTTGTCATAATAGTTACCTCTTTGTACTTTGCTGCAGGCTTGTCAATTTCTTCGGATCATAACTTTCTATTCTACCCAACTTCCTGGTCCTAACATTTATTCTATCTATTTTTTGTGAAATTGACCATCTCTATGATCATTGTTTCTTAGGGAAATAGGATTTTTTTTGGAGGTAATTGTTCATAATCTTGTGGTGTCATTTTAGGAGGTGGTTGTAGTAAAATTATCGGTGATGTAAAGAATCCTCTGTTGTGTTTATAGCTTCATGGCAATATGCTTCGTATATGCTTCGAGTAGTGATCATTTGGCGTGAAAATTATTTGAAGAAACTGTTCAATATCTGAAACCCAAATTTATTCCAAATACCTAAGAGTATGTTAAAAAGTTTGGCCTAACATTTATTCTATCTATTTTTTATGAAATTGACCATCTCTATGATCATTGTTTCTTAGGGAAATAAGATTTTTTTGGAGGTAATTGTTCATAATCTTGTGGTGTCATTTTAGGAGGTGGTTGTAGTAAAATTGTCAGTCATGTAAAGAATCCTTTGTTGTGTTTATAGCTTCATGGCAATATGCTTCGAATATGCTTCGAGTAGTGATTTTGAACCAAAAGATCCAACAAGATATCTTACGTGACGTACGATGACTAAAAATGGGATGAGGTCACATGAGTTTTAATTTTAGTCCTATATTCTTTTTATTTTTTATGCACTCCTCGTCTACAGACAGGGTAAACTCTCAATTTCTTCATTAGTTGGAGGTCAGTGATACTCCTAAGTTTGTACTCTTTTATTTCACACTATTAATAAAATAAGCTACCGTGTGGTTTTAACCAATGTATATAGTTTCAGAACTTCTTTTAGATCTTTGGTTGCTATTGTTAGTCATACATAAATTAATTCTGTTATTTGTATTAATTACGAAGCATTGGAAACATTGTTGTAAGGTTCAAGTGATCGGTAAAAGGAATAATACTGATCCTAATAAGAAGGTGAAGTGAAATCTATTGTATCAAAGGTGTACAGTTCAAATAGGCCACTTGATTCTATTGAAGTAACCAATAATTACAAGGTTTTATTTATGGATTACTCCATGTGAGAGTGGGGAAAAGCAAAGGGATTGTTGAGGAGCTTGTGTCCGTAGGCTACAAATTGAACTATTTCGTTCCAATACATTTTCTACAAGAAGTTTCTTGAATATAAGGACAAATTGTTATTACCAACTTTGGCTTAGTGATGTTGAAATGCATAGGATAACAGATTCCTTCTGAAGACTTACAGAATGGTGACTTCAAGTTTTATGTTCGAGTGATCACATTGATGGGATTGGGAGGATATGAACCCCAAAAAGATACAAAAGAGATGATTTAATTTTCTATTTTCAAACATAATCCTGCTTATAGTTTTTTTTTTTTGCCCAATCCATGATAACTCTGGATAGAAAATTCTTCCTATGGCAATTCATTGAAAATCAAATTCTCACACACACTTGTAATAGGAAACTCTGAGGATCTTGACCTAATTACCAGCATATTTCTTGCTTGCACTGAAGTATCATGGTTTTAACTTAAATTGAACAGGATCAATAAAAGACATGAAATCTATATGCAAAAATATGATGTTCAGAGTGCGTCTATGCTCTGTTGTCTTCAGCTTGTAGGATGAGAATGTGTCTAGGTTTTGAGATGAATGCAATGTACACACATTTTTGGTCCAATAGCAGCAATTTG